AAAAAAAAAAAAATAGCTGGGGGTGGTAGTGCGTGCCTGTAGTTCCAGCTACTTGGAAGGCTGAGGCGGAAGGATTGCTGGAGCCCAGCAGGTCGAGGCTGCGGTGGCTGGGAGCGGCCACTGCACTCCAGTCTGGGCGATAGAGTGAGACTCCACCTCAAAAAAAAAAAAAATTATTCTGCATGCATGAGCACCATGAAAAAATTACATGATGCTTGTAATTTAATATATTCAGGATAACAATAATAACAGCAACAACAATAGCAGCAGCTAGCAATAATTGAGCATCTTCTAAGTTCCAGGAAGTGGTCTAAGTACTGTTTTTAGATAAACTAATTCAAACCTCCTAATTTTATAGGGGTGTTATCATGACCCCCATTTTGGGCAAGGAGATTGAGGCATAGAGAGTCAAATAAATTTTGTCTAAGGTCACACAGCTAGGAAAGAGCTGAAAATTAAACTTAGATCTGTGGTATCCAATATGGTAGCCTCTAGACACATGTGGTTATTTAAATTTAAATTAATTAAAATAAAATGAAATAAAGATTTAGTTCCTTAGTAGCACTAGTGGCATTTTAAGTGTCTATAGCTACATCCAGCCACAGGTCACTGTATTGTATAGTGCAGATCAATGACATTTTCATCATTGCAGAATGTTCTCTACAGTACTGATACAGAGAGTTTGGACTAAAACACAGGTCTTTGGACCAGTCCATGCTGATTCTGTCTCATTAGGTCTGGAATAGAGCCAGAAGCCTAGACTAAAACACAGGGTTGGTACAGAGAGGCTGGATTTGAATCAGAAGGTTTAGGCTCAATACAGATCTGCTACTTACTGTAAGGCCACTGGTCTGAGAAATTTACTTTTTAACACTTCAAACCTCACTTTCCACACCTATTACTTGAAGAGAATAAATGGAAGCCATAAAGTCTCTCATTACATCATTTGGCATTGTTCCCCACATTTCCAGAAGAGGATTTTCAGCAGAGAAACTCAAGGCTTTCCAAATACTAGTATTAGTGGTGGGGACAGGGACCTAAAATTCATGCCCACTTGTGTTTGACTCTTTCCCATAATCCTTTTTTTTCTTGTCTTGGCAGGACTTCCTGGGTGGGGAGTCGGTAAGACCCACAGGGAGTTATAGAATCATCTGGAGGTTCTGGGAAGCCTGCTTACCTCATAGAAGTTTCTTCCCTGTTAGTAATGATCAGGGTTTGTTTGTATGGAGGCATCCCAGCTTGGTAGATGAAGCAGGTTCCAAAGTTGTAGTTGGTGAAGGAGAAATGGACAGCTGGGCTAACGGCACAGCCTGAAATGCTGCAAATAAATGTTGGGCCATGGCTGATCTGTGGAGAGGGAATGACAGGTAGACTGTGATTAGAAGTGGGAGGAAAGGGCACTTAAGGCCTCAGGTGAAAGAGGAAGGAAAGCAGTTTGTTCTTTAACAAATGCAGTAAGTTCTGCATCGGCTCTAGAGATTCTAATTCAGTAGTTAGAAGTTTGTTTATTTAAGAAAAAAGTTGAGTGGGTTTAGTGGCCTATAATCCTAGCACCATGGGAGGCCAAAGTGGGAGGATTGCTTGAGACCAGGAGTTTGAGACCAGCTTAGACAACATAGCGAGATCTCATCTCTATAGAAAATCAAAAAATCAGCTGGGCATGGTGGTGTGCGCCTGTAGTCCCAGCTACTCAGGAGGCTGAGGTAGAAGGATCACCTGAGCCCAGGGGTTTGAGGCTGTGATGAGCTGCTGTGATCATACCGCTGCACTCCAGCCTGGGCAACAGAGTGAGATTCCGACTTAAAAAAAAAAAGCTATTCTGTAATCAGACCCTACATTGGCTCCTGCCTTACTCTCGCAGCAGTAGTTAAGCTTGAAGGCCCAGGGGTATGCCAGACACTGTTAGTTACAGCCCAATATCCACTCCCCACGGCTTCCTTACTAGCTGGACTCTGCCAAAGTACGTGGGTGATAATACTTGATTTCCCATCCTGCCTTGCAGCCCAGGGTGGCCGCAGAGCATAGTTCTGGTCGTTAAAATGTAAACAGAAGGTAAGAGGGTGTTCCACCTTGAATAAACGGGCAAAGCCTTGCTGGGAAAAGTTCTTTTGCCTTCAGGCTCTTCCCTTTTCTTTTCTCTCTGAAATGCAGACATAGCATTTCAGGTATGATGGTCATCTTGTGACCAGAAGATGACAAGAATGAGGACAAGAGGCCAGTATGCCAAGGATGAAAGATGGAAAGATCGAAATAGCACCTGGACTTTCAACCACCAGGTGATACACAACCCATTGGTTCATGAACTTAATTTGCTCTTCACAAGCTCTTCATAATAGGGCTTTTCCTGAGTTGGTAAATGATTTAAAATGAAATATCTGATATTCATTCCAAACATCATTAGGATACTCATTTTAAACATTTTCTTATTCAAAGCTTTTAAAGTCTTTTATATTTTGTGTCTGACAACTTGAAAAAGGATTTATTTATTTAATTTTATTTTTAGAGACAGGGTATCATTCTGTCATCCAGGCAATGGTGCAATGGTGCCATCATAGCTCACTGTAACTTTGAACTTCTGGGTTCAAGCGATCCTCCCCATCTCAGCCTCCCAAGTAGCTAGGACTATAGGTGTGAACCATTACACCCTGCTAATTAATTTTTTTTTTTTTTTTGTAAAGACAGTGTCTCAAGCAATCCTCTGGTGTTGGCCTCCCACAATGCTGGGATTACTTGGGACATGAGTCACTATACCCAGCCTAATTCTCTGAAAAGGATTTAAGTTTATTACCTTCAGCATTTCTGCCAATTAGACTAGAAAGACCTTGTGACATGTTATGCTTCTTTTTGCTGTAAGAAATATAAGTTCTGAAGAAAGTTCTCGAAAGCGATGGGCCCTTCTGAGGGCTTGGCATTTCTCAAGGAAGCATGGCATTTCACAGGGAAGATGGCTGCAACTTTGCTGCTGAGTTCCAGGCCAAGATAAACAGAGGAGATTCTTGAGTTCCCAGTGGCTGGTGACTCACCTTGGGTTCTGCCATAGCTTGAATGTTTGTCCCCTCCAAAACTCATGTTGAAATGTAATTGCCATGGTGATGGTATGGGAAGTGAGGCCTTTAGGAGGTATTTATGTCACGAGGACCTGCTCTCATGGACTAATGCCATTATTGTGGGGTGGGTTTCTTATCACAGGAGTAAGTTCACCCCCTCTTGCTGCCTGCCCACTTCCTCATTGCCCTTTCCTCATGCCCTTTCACCATGTGATGCCATCCAGTTTCCAGAACTGTGTGCCAATAAATTTCTGCTTATTAACAATTGCCCAGTCTCAGTTTCTCTGTCGTAAAAGGGCAAAACAGACTAAGACAGGTTCTAATTTTTTACTTCCATCTTCCTGTCAATCACCTCCTTCTTCCTCAAGAAGATATCTTAGGTTGGGCATCCCACATTTCTTTTTATTATTAATTTCCAACTTCATTTCACTGTGGTTAAAGAACATACTTTGTGTGACTCCAATATTTTGAAATTTGTTAAGGTTTGTTTCATGGCCTAATATATGGTCTATCCTGGATAATATTCCATGTGAAGAATGTGTATTCTGCTGTCAGATGGAATGTTTGGTATATATCTAGGTTAGGTCTAGTGCATTTATGGTATTGTTCAAGTCTTCTGCTGACCCTCAGTCTAGTTATTCTATCCATCATTAAAAACTAGGTACTGAAATCAACTATGACTGTTGAGTTGTCTATTTTCCCCTTCAATTTTCTCAGTTTTGTTTAATGTATTTTGGAACTTTGTTTTTATGTGCATATATGTTTATAATTGTTATATCTTCTTGATGGAGACATAGCAATTATTTATCATTATAAAACATCTTTATTTATCTCTAGCAACAACTTTTGCCGAAAGTCTACTTTGTCTGTTATTAGAATTAGTCCAGCTCTTTTTGATTACTTTTTTTTTCCTGAGTCTGTCACTTGAAGATCTTGAAGATCATGGTCCAAAGCAGCCTTCACCTCCTGGGCTCAGATGATTCTTCCACCTCAGCATCCCAAGTAGCTGTGACTACAGGTGTGCACCACTATGCTCAGCTAATATTTTCATTTTTTTGTAGTGACGAGGTCTTGCTATATTGCCCAGGCTAGTCTCAAACTCCTAGACTCAAGCAATCCACCTACCTTGGCCTCCCAAAATTCCAGGATAATAGGCATGAGCCACCACATGGACCTAGCCCTTTCTGGTTATGATTTAAGTGATATATCTTTTTTTATCCTGTTATTTTCAACCTACTTGTGTCTTTGAATACAAAATGTGTCTCTTGTAGACAGCACATAGTTGGATCATGTTTTTTTCCCATCATTATGCCAATTTTTAAAACTGAAGTGTTGAATTCACTTGCATTTAATGTAATTATTGATAAGATAAGATTTATGCCTATTTTGCTATTTACTTTCTATATGTCTTATGTATCTTTTGAAAAAAAAAAACAAAACAAAAACCAAAAACTGACTAATCAATTATGTCTTTTTATTCCTTGATTCTTCCATTACTGCTTTCTTTTGTGTAAAATAGATATTTTCTTGTGTATCATTTTAATTTCCTTGAATTTCCGTGTTATTTCTTTTACTATATTCTTTTGAGTTGATTTATTATTGGTTGCCATGGGGGTTGCAATTAACATCTAAATTTATAAGAGTCTAGTTTGAATTAATAACAACTTAATTTCAATAGTATGCAAAAACTTTGCTCCTATATAGCTCTGTTCCTTCTCCTTTCTTTGTGCTATTATTATCAAACAAGCACCTTTATATAATTCCCATTAACACAGATTTATAGTTGTTGTTTGATGCTGTCGTCTTTTAAATCAGATAGAAAAAGTTTCAAATAAAAATACATTTATACTGATTTCATGTAACCTTTGTAGTTATCTTTACTTGTGCTCTTTATTTCTTCATGTGGATTTGAGTTACTCTCTATTGTTCCTTCATTTCAGTCTGAAGGATTCTCTTTATTACTTCTTGTAGGCTGATCTGCTAGTGATTAATTCTCTCAGTTTTTATTTATCTGAGAATGTCCTAGTTTCTCCAACAGTTTTGAAGGATAGTTTTGCTAGATATAAAATTCTTTGCTGCCAGTTTTCTTTCAGCACTTTGAATACGTCATTCACTGTATTTGGGTCTCCAAGGTTTCTAATGAGAAAACAGCTGTAAATCTTGCTGCTTTCTAGATTATTTGTCTTTGCCTTTCAACAGTTTGATTATGATGTGTTTAGATGTGGATTTCCTTGACTTTATCCTACTTGTAATTCATTGAGCTTTCTGGATATTTACTTTTTCATCAAATTTGGGAAGTTTTGGGGTATTATTTCTTGAAATTTTCTTTTCATCATCTTTTTCTTCTCTTCTTTGGGACTCCCATCATGTGTATATCAATCTGTTTGATGATGTCCTATGGGGTTTGGAGGCTCTGTCCATTTTTCTTCATTCTTTTTTCTTTCTGTTCTTCAGACTGAATAATCTCAATTGTTCCATCTTAAAGCTTACTGATTCGTTTGCCATATAAAACCTGAGCCCCTGTTGTGAAATTATCATTTCAGATATTGTATTTTTCAACTCCAAAATTTACATTTTTTATACTTTCTATCTTTATTGATATTCTATATTTGGTGAGCTATTGTCCTCATACTTTAAGTTATTTAGACTCAGTTTCCTAGAGTTCTTTGAACATATTTTAAATAGCTGATTTCTTTTCTTTTTTTTTTTTTAATGGAACACTCTGATCCTTTTTTTTTCTTATAAAGATGTGGAGTACAATTCAGGATTAGGTATACAAACATTGATTATGCAGGTACCCTTGTTGATGAGGTATGCCTCTCCCTCCTCTAGCAGTTTCCTTCAACTGCCAATCCAACTCCCCCTCCCCTGACAGTTTTCCAGTACTGCCAATTGCTTTCTTAAAGTATTATAATTGTTCAAGATCTGCTTATGAGTGAGAACATATGGTACTCTGTTCTTCGTTTCTGTGATAGAACACTGAGTGTGATCAATTCTAAATCCACCCAAATTGCTGCAAAGTCCACATGTTTGTCCTTCTTTATGGTTGGATAATATTCCATTGTGTATATGTACCACGTTATTTTATCCAATCCAGCTTCAATGGGCAACATGGTTGGTTCCATATTTTTGCTATTGTGAATACAGCTGCAATAAACATATGTGTGCAGGTATCTTTTTTGTGGAATGATTTGAGTTCCTCCAGGTATATTCTCAATAGGGGAATTGCTGGGTCATATGGAAGGTCAATTTCTAGTTCTTTCAGAAACTGCCACATTGTCTTCCAAAGAGGTTGCACTA